TCATCTGTGAACAATAGTGGTTTAACACCAGACAGAACAGAGTTGGGCTTAGGACACAACCCTGGGGGACACCATTGAGCTGCTCATGGGAATCGGATAATTCACATCCTATTTGTACCCTAAAGTGACAGTGTATGAGAAATTGTTTAATATAGTGATACATTTGTACTTTTGTTCCAACAGATGATAGTTTATTGAGTATTAGGGAGTGGGTTGTTATCAAAAAGCCTTTTTTATATGGAAAAATATTGCTACTGTTTGCTGTTTGTTGATAAATGTATATTGTGTAACGATTGATTAAAATAGTGTAACGAGAGGAAGCAGGAGTTTTTGAGATTTTACGAATTTTAGTTCAGACGTCAGTTGATGTTGCCATATGTCAAATTTTTCCACGATTCAGTCTTACATTGGTTAATTATTTTCCTACATAAAGCACGCTGTCTCTTATATTCTATTAAATTTTCAGAATTCATATATTTTTGGAACTTTTTATAGGCTTTACGGCGATCTTTAACGGCTTTTTTGCAGATATCATTAAACCAAGGAACAAGGTGTCTTTTTGGTGATCCTGAGGTCATTGGGATTAATGTTTTAGCCACTTCTAGTATCATACTCATGAAGGTTTCATAGTCCTTGTCGATATTCATTTGGTCCGGGAGGATTTGAGGTGGTGATGCTAAGGAAATGAACAGAGTCCAATCAGCTTTGTTTAGGGTCCATCTTCATTTTACCCTAGTGGGATTCGTTGTTTTGAGTTTTATGACAATCGGGAAATGATCACTACTGTACTAATCCGGCAATATCCTCCAGTCCATAATATTTTATAATGAGACGTTACACAGAGAAATATCAATTGATGAGAAGGTACCATAGCTATGGCTAAGAAAGGTAGGTTCTCCGGGGTTAAGTAAAAGTAGATTAGAAATATCTATAAAATCTTCTAATATTTTTCCTCGTGTGTTAATGCTTTGGGATCCCCATAAAGGGTTGTGACTGTTGATGTTCCCAATAAAAAGAACAGGATGAGGTAGTTGATTGTAGATGTCTAAGAGCTGTTATGTATCTATTGTACGGTCTTGTGGAAGGTATATATTGTATATGGAAAAAGAGAAGTCCCAGTGAGCTTTGAATGCAACCGTTTATATTATATTGATTATATTAATTATAGATTAGAGTTTATATTAATTGATTCTGAATAAACGAATTTTTGAATGCGAATTAGTACTCCGTGATGGCTGTGGTTTGGGTTTGGGCTATCTTTTCTATATAAATGAAAATTTTTTAAGGTAAAGTTGTCTTTTATTGTAAGGTGTGTCTCTTGAAGGGCAAGGCAAGGCAAAATGGGTCTGTCTTGTATTAAATTTTTTTAATCATTAATATGAGTCTTTAGGCCATTGCAGTTCCATTGAATTACCACCATGTTAAGGTATTATATAGATGTATAACCACATAGGAACACACGCATATAAGAATAATAGCTGTAAGATAGTAAGGATTTAATTTTAGAAAAAGTAAAAGTAAGTATAAGAAAATGTCAGTAGTAATAGATAGAGAATAAACAATAACAAGAGTAACAGTAGAAAAATTAGCCGAGTAAAGTAATAAGTGATAGTAGTAGTAATACCAATAATATAAGAAAAGAATAATGAAAATATATGCAGATATATATTAATCAGTGTAAATTAGTAAGTATTTAGTCGTAGAAAATATCTATTTTCCATTTGAAAAAAGAGTACAAAAAAGTAGTAATAGAAGCTGAAAAGCGAAAAAAAGAATATATAACAATTATAATAATAATAGAGAGAGTATGTAAATAACGTATTAGATGAATAATTTAATAATGATAAGAGAAATAAAAGTAATAGTGCTGAAGGTAAATATATACAATACACATAAAACTTATGTAAAAGAGTAAACAATGTATAAATCAGGTATATAAATGAAATTAGGTTTATACATACAAACGCACACACATGTGTGCAAGCACCCATTCATACATATATTCTCACAAATGTCTGAGTATATAAATGACACACTGTAATGACACACATATGTATCAAATGAAATATATATAGCATTTCCAAGTCAATTTCAATGTTTTCCAAATCAAATTCAACCTTTTCCAAGTCAAATTCAACCTTTTCCATTTCAAATTTTTGTTAATTTTTCTAAATGAAGGCCACTTACTATATTATGGAAGGCATAGCTTTTGAAAAATACAAAAACAATTATGACAACACGGTTGTATATCCATTTATTTTAACTTTTTAGATTTTTCAGTATTATATTTCCATTTCATATTCAATTTTTTTCAAGTCAAATTCAACCTTTTCCAATCCAAATTCAACCGTTTTCATTTCAAACTAATGTTTCGAATTTTTGTAAATTTTTGATTGTTTTTTAAAATAAGGGCCATCACTCCTTCCCCCCATCACTAATATGAAGGTCTATTATTATGTTCCCCTAAATAGAGTTTTTCAAAATACCCTATCGATTTTATCTTACACGTATTATGCTGTCATGTGCCTAGTTTTTGAAAATAACCTCCATTTTAAGATCATGCCACTGCGTTTCGACTTATTTAAGTTTTTCGAATTTATTCAATATAAGGGCGTATTCTTATGTTTCTGGAGTAGTAGATTTTGAAAATGACCTCCATTTTAAGATTACGCCACCACGTTTTGAATTATTTAAGTTTTTCGGATCTTTTCCATATAAGGGTGTATTCTTATGTTTCCGGAGCCGTAGACTTTTAAAATGAACTCCATTTTAAGATACCACTACGTTTCGACTTATTTACATTTATTGGATTTATGCGGTATAAGAGTGATTTCTTATGTTTCCGGAGCCATAAATTTTGAAAATAACCTCCATTTTAAGCTTATGCTACTGCGTTTAGACTTATTTAAGTTTTTCGAATTTATTCGATATAAGGGTGTATTCTTAGGTTTGCAGAGTATTAGATTTTGAAAATTATATCCATTTCAAGATTACGCCACTGCGTTTCGACTTACTTTTTTTCCAATTTATTCGATTATTTATTATTATTCAATTTATTACACCGCTGCATCTCTATTAATTAAGCTTTATTTTGGATTTTTTCAATACAAAGTTTCATCAATATGTTTTCGATTATGAATAAATAAATAAATACTATGAAGCTAAGGTTAAATTAACCACAAAACACAAAGTAAAACGCCGATAAAGTAACTAGTAATAAATTTAAACGACCATATTGAGATATTTCAGCTAATTGTTCGAAATCTTATAATTTTGTAAGATGAGAATACAACATTAAAAAAGATAACTAAAATTAAATTAAAAATGAGACAATAGATATTTTATTTATTTCGGTTGAAAACTAAATGAAACCTTTGTATTTTTTTGTTTTTTTAATCGAAGGAAAAAGCAAAAATACTTAAACAGCTGTATCGAAACACAGTGATCTAGTCTTAAAATGGAAATCAATTTAAAAAACTACGGCTCCAGAAACATAAAAGTAGAGCCTTGTATTGAATAAATTTAAAAAACTTAAATAAGTCGAAACGCAGTGGGATAATCTTTAGATGCAGGATATTTTCAAAAAATTCAGCTCCAGAAACATAAAAGTAGACCCTTATATTTAATAAATTCGAAAAACGTAAATAAGTCAAAATGTAGAGGCATAATCTTAAAATGGAGTTCATTTTGAAAATCTACGGCTCCGGAAACATAAGAATACACCCTTATATGGAAAAGATCAGAAAAACTTAAATAATTCGAAACGCCGTGGCGTAATCTTAAAATGGAGGTCATTTTCAAAATCTACTACTCCAGAAACATAAGAATACGCCCTTATATCGAATAAATTCGAAAAACTTAAATAAGTCGAAACGCAGTGGCATGATCTTAAAATGGAGGTTATTTTCAAAAACTAGGCACACGACAGCATAATACAACACCCTAATAAATCCGAATAGGTACAATAAATCGATATCCATAAGTGTAACATAAAATCTATAGTATTTTGAAAAACTCTATTTAGGGGAACATAATAATAGACCTTCATATTAGTGAGGGGGAGGAGGGATGGCAATTATTTAAAAAAAAACAATAAAAAATTAACAAAATTTCGAAACATTAATTTGAAATGAAAACGGTTGAATTTGAATTGGAAAAGGTTTAATTTGAAATGGAAATGGTTGAATTTGACTTGGAAATGCTATATATATGGTATACACGTACATATATAGACATAAATAAATTGTGTATTGTATGTTAATTTGAATATTGTTCTTTTTTCTTTCTTTCACTTTAGTAAAACCATCTTTGTCTAAAGACTGATCTACGTCATCTGTATTCAGAGGTACGATCGTGTTGTCTGACAATTTCGTTGAACCAGGCAGGTGATTAGTAGTGATAACAGAAGGAGAGGTGGAGAGGGGAGAGGGGAGTGGGGAGGGGAGAGCCAACCCGCTGTCTCCGGGTTATGTGCTCGGAAATGGTTGCCAGCAGGTGTTTTAATTCCTTTAAAAAAGGTTTTATTGGGAAAAGAGAAGTGTCAAAGAACATAAAGTAATTTACGAACACACTTTACTTTCTTACTGATTCTCACCTTCTCAAGTGCATCTTGGACTCTAACCACAAAACATAAGAGCCAACTTCAAGCTATGGAGATGCGATACTTGAGAAGAATGGAGAGAAAGACAATGAGAGACCGAGCCCGAAATAAGATATTGAGGTCAAACCTGAAACTTAAGCCAGCTGAAGATATTATCGAGGAACATCAGCTGAGATGGTTTGGCTATGTTGCTAAAATGGCAGAGGAAAGACCAAGGATGACATACGAAGGTGAAATCCAGGACACCTTTGACAGAAGAGAGCTGGAATGGGGAAGGAGAGGAGGGATGGTTCAGGACAGAGATTCTGGACCAAGCTCTACCAAAGGGATCCTCACACCGTTATGTGGCAGGAGGAGATTAAATAAATAAATTAAAACTATAGATTGTAAACGAACTTACTTCTCTTCTTGGCCAGGGAGATATAAGTTTATATTCTTCAATTCTGTAGCCTTTGACTAGCAGGTAATTAAAGAGCACCTATAAACAATGAGACACTTAATAATTTAAACATTGATTTTATAAATAAACAGTGATCTCAATTTGTAAGTGAAGCTTTTTAAATTACAAAAAATAATAGTTTGATAATAATAGAACTTATTTAATCACTTAAAAGGCAATATCATATTTAAAATCATTAAATTTTGAAGAAATAAATTATTTGAAAATTGTCACTAGAAAAGAATGATATTTTGTAAAAGTATTTTAAGTTTATTTAATAATAAACAAAAATCTAATAAAAAGATCTACATAAAAAATATGAAATAGTATTTTAATTTAACTATGAAGCAAACTGTTAAAACACTACATGAACAAGAGTTTTCATATTTATAGATAAAAAACTTATTTTAAGATTATATTAGGACCTCGGATGAGTTCTCACAGATGGCAGCATCAGTAATATGAGCGTTTATTTCAGATACTAACGCAACTTTCAATTATACCATTTAGTATAATTACTACCATTATTGGTAGGTTAGTTCCCCACAGTGTTAACTGTTTTTTTTTTTTTTTTTTTTTTTTTCTGAAAATGTTGAGCTTTGTGACAAGTAAAAAATATTTGCAGGGTATTTTATTACACTATTTTATTCAAAAGAAATCTGCAGCTCTCTTTTGGGACTTATGTTGAGCATGCTAGGTCAGAAATGACAAGTAGAGACTAGTTTCGGCACATCAAAAATAATTAATTCAATCTTGGAGATTAAGAACGCTCTGCAGTATAGAAAAAGTTTGAAGACGAAGAATTGGAAAAATTATTTAATGAAGACCCATGTCAGATGCTAGCTGAACCTGTAAAATCACTACTAGTTGATAACAGTTTCAAAATGTTTGAAAGCGTTAGAAGTGTTCCAGAAGCAAGGACATTGAAATATGTCGAACAACTTTTTTTATATGAGAGCTGCTGCTTTGCAAGCAAAAAAGGAAGTTTTTTTAATTTCATCATGACGTGCGATGAAAAATAGATACAGTACGATAATCCTAAACTTAAGAAATCGTGGGGTAAGCCTGGCCTCTTCTTTAGCTTCTCCTATGCATTTGGTTTGATCGGCATCGTGAAAATTATTATGAGCTGAAAATATTTCCATATACCTTTACAATGCTTGTTCAATCTATTTTTTGTACTTCGTTCTTGGTATAAATTTTATCCATCATTAAAGATTGGTGTCTAAATTTACAAAAAAAGAAAAATATTTAAAAACTATGGTGTAATAGGTAATTGAGTGTTATAATTCAGTCTGTTTTAATTAACCATAATCAAGAATTTACTTATAATATTACTTACTATAGGAGAAGAGAAGACCCCTAATATACTTTACTTTCCAGTTTACAGTCTTACTCTGGCCTTTGAACGTGTGTTATCATCAGAACTCCCACCCCCAAAGTAACCATAACCCCCTCCACCGTTAAATTTAAACATAGTTTTGCTTAAATAATAAATTTTGAATTTGGCGTCAAGTAATTTATAAAAGAGCTTTGTAAAGTTATGTAGATAACCAAAATCCTTAAATTACGAGATGCCGAACGCCAAATTTATTATTTAAAGTATTGCAAAATTAATAATCTAATCCCAAATCACTTTCTACAAAATAGTATTAAACTAGAAAATTGTTTTAATAAACATTTCCTAATAAAATACAGACTGGAAACTTAGTAATCTTGATATTAAAGAGGCCAATTGGCTTGCCTAGAATTATAAAATAAATACGGAGGATTCATGGTTAATATCACAGAAGGTGATAATCATTTGTTTAGCCACCTAACGGATTGTAATGTCAGCATTACATTGTGTATTTGAATATTGGCGCGAAGGTGGTAACATCACAAACTACTGACAGGAAGTGCTGATGGTGGGGGAAGCAAGCCTTATATAACGAGAGAAGGTGACCAGCCAGCAAGTCGAGAAGATCTAAAAGGAATACAGGCCGGTACGAGTGTTGATAGAGGCCACTAGTGGTGATAATAATGTATTTAGCTTATTTTATTACTTGTATATCAATCTACTTTACTTATTATTCCTGTACATAGATTAGATTAACAAGTTATGTAATTACTGTATGTAGTTAAATGTATGTAGATTAAGGTAATATAGTGTTAACATTATATTGTGAATTTTAAAATTGGCGCGAAGGTGGTAACATCAAGAACTACTGACAGGAAGTGCTGATGGTGGGGGAAGCAAGCCTCATATAACGAGAGAAGGTGACCAGCCAGCAAGTCGAGAAGATCTAAAAGGAATACTGGCCGGTACGAGTGTTGATAGAGGCCACCAGTGGTGATTACTTTGTGTTGGAAGAAAGAACAAGCGGAAATTAATTCAGTGGTACCAAAAACGTTGGAACATTCATGAATAAGAATAGTTTATTTATTTCACTGACAGGCGTAAACATTTGGGTGAGTGCCAACAATGCCATTTATATTGACAGAGGGATTAAGCCACAAAGTTTAGACCAGGACAATCAATGGTTTTAAAAACAATGATAATTTTTATATGTATAATTTATAGTAAATTGGTGTAGCTTACAGTTATTTAATTTTGAATGAGTGTTCAGTTGTTAGAACCCAACCTGAGAATTTATATATGTGTGAGAAATAAATGGTATAATGAAAAAGAAACTGGTTGTTTGATTTTGGAGGGAACGAGAACATTACAACATATAAATAAAAAGTTGAATATTTAATAGTTGACCATTGCATTATAAAGGAAGAAGATGGTCCGGGGTTGCAGTCATAAATAGGCTAAATAGTGGTAAAACTATTTTATTGAAAGCCGACTTTTCGACCTGACTTTGTAGGTCTTCTTCAGGGCCAGAACGCACAAGATACAAAAAGATAGAGAATTGTGACAGTTGCATAATATTTAGACATAATTTATAAACAATGTGAATAAGCTTATTAAAATTATAAACAGTAAGTACAGTAAAATATGAACAAAGTAAGCTGAGTAACAAGATCCTAAACTGAGGTAAATAGATGCTAACAATTGTTGTAGTGCAATATATAATAAATGAAAATATGAATATACTTCTAAAAATCTACAAGAGAGGTTGAAAGAAAAGGAATAAGGATATAATATATGAAATAATAGACATAAAGGAATGTGGAGAAAGAAAAGAAAAAGGAGAACAAAAATTAGATAAATAAGTAAATAAAATGGAAGAATAAAATTAGAGACTTACAGGTGTGTTCATCTAGGAGTTTCACTTAGAACTGGAAAGCCAAGGGTAAGGGCAGGTATAGGGGAAGCTAACATGTGTTTACTGGGTAATTGGGAAAAACCTAGGAAATTACAGTATCTAAAATTTGAAGATATGGATGGATACAATGGAAAAATACTATATCTATGAAATATTAAATTATAAATATACATATAAAATAGAATTGAGAGATTATAGATCAGAGTACAATGTGAATAAACCAAGAGAGGTATCCGTATCATATCAGGTAATGTGAATAGAGCAAGGTATCCGGTAAACTACATTAGATCGGTGTTGTAAGAGTATGGGATCCTTCAAGTTGGTGAAAAGGAAAGAAAGTTTGTTATCACACCGACTTCACTGAACCCAGTTATCTAGGTATCTTTAATCTTCTTAAAACAAAATACCATCCATATAAATCCAAGTTTAATAATTTTTGCAAACAGCTCACTATAAAAACAGAGCAACGGATTTTTCTCTTACAATGCAGATCAAACCAAATCTTCCCCAAATGTATCGAGTACCGGTTTGATAATTTTCATGTTGCCCCCTCATTAAAATCCAATTTATGAAATTCTTTATTAAATTTCAAAAAAAGTTTGTTAAATTTAAAAATAAGAGAGATTATACAGGAATTAGATTTTCTTAATTCAAAAATTTCCTCCCTCACCACATGTCTTACATCGGTTATTGGTGAAGAAAATATCATTAAACTTAAGTACAAGATTTCACAAATTTGTTTCTCTATCAAAACTGCTAAAAAACAGTCTCTCTAACATAAATTTAATCAAATAAATCAACTTTCTCTGAAAAATAAAATTTACCCTAAAGGTAGTGAAAAATGGGTCAATAATATTTCCTTCACCAATATACCCCCACAGGTAGTCAATATTTTAAGTTTAGGCCCCAACTTTTCTTCCCCCTCTTCCAAATGCTCCTATCTCATTCCTAGCCTAATAACAGATCTAGAAGGCATCTATAGAGATAACCGTTTCGGTGCTAACGAAGAGGAGAAAGAATTATCCTGCATTCGGATCAGTAATATGATTTCTAACCACCTCCAACACTCTCCATCCCGTTCGTCCACTTTATCCCCTCTGTTTTTTAAAGATTTATCCTCAACCCGCTCTTTCCTGAAAACAAATGACCACCTCATTATTACTAAGGCTGACAAGGGAAATTCGAACGTTATTATGGACAACACAGAATACACACATAAAATAAACAAACTACTTTTAGACCTTGTTAACAACTTACGCCCCCTACCCCCATGACCCAACCCGTACACTAATGTTAAAGTTCAACCACCACATTAAAAACTTACTAGAGACCAAACAAATTAACCGTCCCACTTACTACAACCTTATATCCTACAACTTCTTATCACCCCGCTTATATGGACTCCCAAAAATTCATAAACCTGGAAATCCCCTCCGCCCTATTATCTCCAATATTAACGCCCCCTCAGTTAAACTCAGCAAATTACTTTTACCCTCTCTCCAAAAACTTAGTCACAATAATCCTTACGACATTCATAATTCATTCCACCTTAAAGAAGAGTTATCTTCTCTCCATATTCCTGACAACTTTATCCTTGTTTCCCTAGACGCCGAAAGTCTTTTTACCAACATCCCAATAGACAAAGCCCTCCACATTGTACAGAAAAACTGGACAATCATAGAACCTCACACCACCCTTAACCTCTCCTCATACCTTGAATCCCTTGAGCTTTGTAGCAGATATGGATTCCTCAGCTTCCAAGGAAAATTCTGTCATCAGATTTCT